CTTTTTTGTTGTTGCACTTTGGTTCGCTTCCCCCATCTCGCGTTGCCAATCTCGCTTCGCCGGGGTCGCGCCGGGCGGACAGACCCGGCGAACGCGACTTTAAAATGAGCGCGCAGGTTAGCATACGAGCGGGCAGGACGACAATTGAGCTAGCACGGGGTACAAATGTTGTTATTACAACAGTACCCCCTTGTGCAGTCGTTCCATCGAGCGCACTTATATCCTGGAATAACCCAACCATGGTCACCCACACAGCAAGTTTGTAAAAACCTATCAACGCTGGCCCAACTCTTGAGGCAGCAGTAAGTGTTTGCTACAGGGCACTCCTTCGTACAGTCGCTGGGGCCCGACGCCCGTGACTGGAGTAGCCCCACGCCGTCGGCCTCGTTCGTGGCGTCGCAGTTGTGCGAATCCTCCTCCATCAGGCAGCGTTCCTCCGAGGTCTTGGCTAAGTCATCGGCGGCAACGCAGCCGCGGCCGACGAGCAGGAGGGCGAACGCTCCCGCAAGCACCACGACGTTCATTGCGGCAACGGCGGAGTAACAGGGGCTTGGCAGCAATAGGCGCAAACCAAATGTTCCCTATTCCTGAAGAGTTGCCACAATGTCTTGAGCCAAAATGGTTACGGAGCGCCTTGGGGCCATCTTGGGCGTCTTAGGCGATGGTTCGGTGACTCTCTGGGCTGCATTGGACCGTATTGGAGCCTTCTTGGAGCCCTTTTCAGCACGTTTCGGGACTGCCTTGGGCCGTCTGTGAGCGCTCCCAGAGGCAGTGACACGCCATGCCCCCCGTGGTCACTTGGCCCGTCCAGGCGGCCTCGTCCCCCGGGTCTGTTCTGGAGCCTCTTGGGGCCTCCTTGGCGCCTTCTGGCGGTCTTCTGTGAGGCCCCGGGGCTCCCCGAGGGCCCCGGTGCTCACATTTGCGGCCGTCTTGGGCCCTTCGTGGGCCGTCCTGGAGCTCTCTGGGGCTGAATGGGAGCCCTCTGGGCGCGTCCTCGGCCGGACCGACAGCGAAAACAAGCAATATCTTTAAAATTTACGTTTTACGAAGGGAATGGGGCTATTTTGGCCCCTCGGGGCTCTCTTTGGGGCTTTATTGGGGGTCGCTTGGGGTGTCTTGGGGGCTTCTGAAGCCGCCGTGGAGGCCATGTTGGGCGTCTGGGAGCGACCTTCGGGCGTCCCGGGTCTATTTTGGAGCCTCTTGGGGCCTCCTTGGTGCATTCTGGCGGTCTTCTGTGAGGCCCCGGGGCTCCCCGAGGGCCCTGGAGCCCATATTTGTGGTAGCGGCGCCGGCCCCGGGCGCCCGGACCCGGTGCGCCGTTATATATATATATATATATATATATATATATATGTGTGTGTGTGTGTATATCTATATATATATATATATATATATATATATATATATATATATATATAGGTGTGTGTATGTGCCTACGTCGGCGGCTAGGCAGGGTGACTGCGCTGGCGGATGGGGCAAATGTAGGGCCTACAGCTGCTATTTCAGACACACACTCACACAGAGATCCGCAGATACAGCATGATTTGTTCAATCCGCGGCCCCTGAGCTGCTGATCCCTTCCCTGGGTTGGATTTGCGTTTGATGGCCCCAGATGGCCCCCGGGCCCGATTGCAGTGCCTGGGGCCAAAGCGAAGAAACAAACAGCAGGACTCAAAGACCAGATCGTCGGAAACCTGGGCCCCCAGTCCTCGCCACCCTCTTGGATGCCCCCGAGCTTCGCAGGGGCAGGCAAAAACGACAAGCTCCCTGGACGACTCCTGGCGGCCGCGCCCGGTGCCAGCCTGGCCCTCCCGGTGGGCGAACCCCCACCGTCCGTCGTGAAGAATTTACAACGGGGAGCTTCTGGCCTACACCCTGCGAAATGCTTAAGAAATCATGGGTTAAGAAATTCATAGTCTCAGAACTTGAATAACATCCCAACGTTTCCGTTAAAATCTCAAGATTTACATTGAAACGTTAAGAATAATCGAGACTCTGGCCGAAAACTTAAGTTTTCTTAAGCATCGCCTAAGGTGTACTGTGATTCCTAGCACTTCCCTTGCACATTCCGCCTCCCTCCCTGCTGTCGCCCTTGCCTGCTCGCGCTCTCGCATCTCGAGTGCGGCGATTCCTTCGCAGCCACGCGCGCTACGACGACACGGGCCTCGCCGCCGTGACTCACTCGCACGTGGACGCCTCCCTGAGTCGTCACTCGCACGTGGAAGCCTCCCGGAGTCGACGGCCTGCTGGGGCCTTCACCGGGCGCTAGTACAAAAGAGACCCGGGACGAAGAGCCGGTCCCCGGGAGTGCGGGGACAGCACGCGACCACAAGCCACATCGAGGACGCACCCCCGGGGGATGCTCTGCGCATGCCAGCAGTCGTGAGAACACCGAGCCCAGCTCCGTACTGTTAGGTCGGGCATGTCCCCCTGCAGGCGGATTTTGGACGACACATAAAAATAGCAAAAACGAATGCAACGGAAAAGGTCAAACAATGATAGAGAAATCGACCCCAGACTATTTTTGTAACTGTTTTGGAATGTTCCTCCTGTAGAGGGACAGGCCCGGCTTAATTGTACTGGTTGTGGTCGATGTGGGCGCCCCACACGGCCAAATCGACCACAACCACAACCAAACTGCTCACCTCGGGGTCGGTGGGCTCTCTCCCCCGATGGGGCCCTCCAGAAGAATCCGCCTGGCTTCAGGTCGGGCATGTCCCCCTGATTACAAGTGGATTTTGGAGGAACGGTGAGCAATGCTCCAAATGTCCGCCGAAAGGGTCTTCAAAAATAGTGGAACATTCGCTCCCGCACTGCCTCTGGGCTGCTCTGGAACAGATCCCTCCTGTGGAGAGACCTGCTGTGGCTGTGGTTGCTCTCTGCCGCGCCGGGGGGGCCCGGGGCGCCGGGCGCCCACGCCGCGCGAGGAGCACGGCGTCGCGGAGTGCTGGGGAGGAGCAGCCGCGCCACGCGCGGCGGCCCGAGGGCCGGTGGCTCGCTGGCCGAGGCCTGGCCACGGATGCCACCGCCGCCCGCAGCAGAGAAGGAAGGCACCAGGGTCCGAGGTCTCCTGCGAGGAGGGGCCCTAAGTGCCGGTGGAGCGCTACTCGAGGCCTGGCCACGGATGCCACCGCCGCCCTCTATCAGATAGGGCATCCTCTAGGGTCTGAGGCCTCCTGCGAGGAGCAGTAAGAGTGCCCCCCCCCACACTTCAGGAGGGGCCCTACGTTGGGAGGTCCAAGTGCATCAGGGATAAGGGGGGGGTCTCTTCTGCAGACGTGTCCGACGGAACCACCCATGCTTTCAGAGATCTCCCTGAAAGCCGTGGACCTACGCTAGGCCACGAAATCATCATGCTATGCGGATCAAGGGTTGTACTATGCTTAAGGGCTACTTCACGAACGCCCCGACCGTAAGCAGCCTCTCATCGGGTGCTGCGTGACTCTTCTCTACAGTTTGGCCCCAGGGGCCCCGGATTGGAGAGGACACGCGAGAGAGCACGAGACACGAGACCCTTCCGATGGCCACATTGCCAGTGGAACATAGAGGGCATGGGTCGCGAAACACAGGACACATGGGTACCCTTGTTTGGGCAGGGTCGATCTACTAACTAAACTCGACTGCAATGCCAAGGGGAGGCTCCTCAAACCGGCAGTGCGACCCAACTCCTCGGGTGCTGCATGCCACGGCCATGGCAGCTGTGGACGCTCCGAGGTTCTGCAGCAACAGCGGGCAGAGCTGGCGCTTCCCCCACCTCCTCTGGTCGCGTGAAGAGAAACAGCGACGAGCGGTATTGGGCAACTTTCGGAAGTTCTGGGCAGGCAAGAGCAGGCGTACCTCAAGATTTCCACAAGTGGGCATAGCTCCTTGGTCCGGCAAGCTGTACGCGAATAAGCACCGAACTGCTGGGCGCTGCGTCGACGGCGTGGCAGGCCTGGACAGCAGTGGGCCTCTCCAGTGCACGGTCCGAGGCAGTCTCGGCGTTCCCTTTCCCCCTTCCCCTCCTGGCTCCTTTGTTAGAGGCCTCCTCGATGGGGTCGGGGTAGATGGGGTCGGAGGATCGCGCCGAATCGCCGATGCATCGGCGATACATACATCGACGACGCCAGCGTGGAGAAAGTCGGGCTCCACATCGAGCTGCATCGCCAATGCATCGGCGATGCGGCGCGATCCTCCGCCCCCATCGACTCCGATCCCATCTGGGAGGCCTAGATTTGTGCCACTGTGCATTTACGGATCACGCTTTTCCGTCTGGCTGCCAACGCTGCAGCCCGTGCTTGCCAGCGCGTCCTTCTGGATGCGCGGCCGAGCGAGCGAGCGAGCAAGCGGGGCCCTCAACGGGCCCCGGGGTCGTCAAAAGACGACCCAGAAGATGATACACTTGTCCTGTGGGAGGAGGAAGAGGAGGAGGAGGAGGAGGAGGAGGAGGAGGAGGAGGAGGAGGAGAGGAGGAGAGGAGGAGGAGGAGGAGGAGGAGGAGGAGGAGGAGGAGGAGGAGGGGTCCGGACCTGTGGGGGGTCCACGTCAAGAAAACACGAAGTCGGAGGCTTGGGAAGGTGTCCCCAGCTCCTCGCTCCATCTGGGAGCCCCTGGGGTCTCTGTGCCTCGTGTGCGGTGCCCTGGAGGCCACGTGGGCCTTCTGGGACACCCTGGAGGCATCTTGGGTCAGGGATCGGGCGTTGCTTCATGCGGGGGGGGGCGATACGTGGGGGGAAGCACAGAAAACGTTCACCTTTCGTGCCCCTTTGTAGGGCCCCGTTAGGGCGTTAGGGCACAGAAGGTGTACCTTTCTTTGCCCCTCCTCCTCCTCCTCCTCCTCCTCCTCCTCCTCCTCCTCCTCCTCCTCCTCCTCCTCCTCCTATTCTTCACGACGCGCTGACGTCTGGGCCCCCCGAACGCCACAGCGGAGCCTCGAGCCGCGAGGCTCGAGGAGGGATGGGGCGCTGCTCGCGGCTCGCGCCCGAGGCGTCGGGGGCGGGCGGCCTCTCTCCCCCGAGGTCCTGCGGCACCACGTGCACCAGCGACTGGCTCGCGTCGAACTGGAACCAGCTCCCGTCGGCGGCCTCGACGACCAGCGTGTCCCGCCACGGAGAGCCCTGCCCCGCCCCAGGGCTTCCGGCGCTCCGCGAGGGTCGGAGCGGGCGGCTTCGAGCCGCTTTCGGCCTCGAGGGGGGCCCTCGCTGGGCCTCGGGGCCGTCAAACACACGGCTCAGGAGGAAAAACCGGCCCTGGGGAAGTGGTCCAGACCTCTGGGGGCCACGCGTCAAAACAAATTGGAGCAGCCGGATGTCTGTGCTCTCGTCGTCCTCGTCGTCCTCCTCCTCCTCCTCCTCCTCCTCCTCCTTCTCCAAAGCCCTCTTCCCCATCCTCTTCCTAATTGCCCTCCTCATCCTTCTCCGTCTGGCCTTGCTCCTCATCCTGCTCCCTATCATTCAAATTTTTGTTTCATAGTATGCGTGTGCGCCCAATTATTCGCAATGTTACTATTGTTATGCTTCTAGTAGTCTTATTATTATCACTGGAAGTGTTACGGTCGGCATTTTTTCTTTAGCGTGTCGCGGCGGCGGCCCTGGCGACACGCTATGCCTTGCGAATGGATAGCGTGTCGCTCCGCTCTGCGGGGTGGGAGGCTGGCAAAAGCTCGGCATCTGGACGCCTGGGAACTGCGAAGTGGATGGCGTGTCGCGCCGAGGCTTGGTGGGCCAGAACTGCTAGAGCGACACGCCAATCAAAAGATCCCGACCGTATTATCATCTGCCTCCTTCTCCTCCTCCTCCTCCTCCTCCTCCTCCTCCTCCTCCTCCCCCTCTGCTTGCTTTCTTTGCTTGATGATGTGGAAAATTTGTGTTGCTGGCATTCCATTCCGGCTAGCCCTGGTGTCCCCGTTTGGCCCCCGTTTGGCACTCAGAGGGGGCCCCCCATCAGACGTTTGACAACGCGGGGGGCATGACTTCGTGGGGGCACCCCATCAGGTGTTTGACAACGCAGGGGGGGGGGGGGGGGCATATAGTGCCCTCGCGCGCACGCCGATCCGCTTCATAGCAAGCTGTACAGTCGGAGTGGATTGAAGAGGACACGCGAGAGGACACAAGACTCTTCCGAGGGCCACATTGCCACATGAATGTAGAAGCATGGGTCGCGAGGCACAGGACACAAGGGTACCCTTGATTTGGCAGGGTCGAACCTACTAATCGGCCTCGACTGTAGCAGAGCTGGGATCAGATGGCGATCGCCAACCGACCGCCCGGACTTCGGCGTTGGGCCCTTGGCCGACCACGCCGCGATGGCCAGCCAGCCGGGCCACTCGCGCGCCTCTGGAGCACGCGGCCTCCCCTCGGAGCGGACCTCAGGCGCTCTCAAGAGAGGGAAGCTTCTGGACGCCCGGAAGTAGGAAGAAGTAGGAAGAAGTAGGAAGAAGTAGGAAGAAGAAAAAGAAGAAGAAGAAGAAGGAAGAAATAGGAAGAATAAGTAGGAAGAAGTAGGAAGTGGTACCCATCGGTCGGAAAGAGTAGGTAGAACCATGAAGTAAGAAGGCGTTGGAAGTAGGTTGGATCTCCGCCCGACCCGTGAAGGGAAGAGAAGAAGGAAGCCACACGATCTTTGAAGTAGGAAGGCGCCCAAAGTAGAGTGGGATCGGGGAATCCAAAAATACCTACTTTCAACGACCGATGGGTACGGAAAACATGGGCACAACGCCCAACAACAGAGGTTGTCCAAAACCGACAGCGGCCGCTGTTGGGCAGGCGGCCGTGTGTGTCTCAGATGGACAACGTCCGCGGCGACGCCGACAGCGAGCCATCTCCGAAGTGCACAGGAACTGCTGCTAGTCCTCGTGCCCAGTCTTCCCGCACCCATGTCGATCGTCCCGAAGTGAAGCTGGAGGACGGGGGGGGGAGCCAGGAGAGGAGGAGGAGGAGGAGGAGGAGGAGGAGGAGGAGGAGAGAGGAGGAGGAGGAGGAGGAGAGGAGGAGGAGGAGGAGGAGGAGGAGGAGGAGGAGGTCTCCCCCTCCTCTGGCTCCTCCCTGTGCTCCCTCCGCGGGGCCGAGGGGAGCCTCGCCGTGAAGCGCCTCGTGTGGCGGGGGGCCCCGTGGGCGGGTGCTGGAGCTCGTGCGCGAGGCGCTCAGACATAGAGCGCGTGACCGAAGGCTCGGATCAAAGGGACTGGCTTGGTAGGGGGCCACATGCGAACCCTACCCCTACCCCCCACGATTTTAGAGGGGGAGGGTGGGGTTCACATAATTCAGGAGCTCCCGAGCGAAGTGAACCCCACCCTCCCCCTCAGAAGTCGTGGGGGATAGGGGTAGGGTTCGCATGTGGCCTCCTACTTGGGGCGCGGTTCCGCCTGGCAAGAAGTTGGAAAGACCACAACCTAGAACGTCAGAATCGTCCCACTCGTCCTCCATCTGCCCTCCTCGTCCCTTCCATCACCAGCAGCACCACCACAAGCATCATGAACATCAGCAACATCTGCACCACCGTCATCGTTCAAATCATGTCCACCATCGTCATCGTCACTATCGCCATCGCCGCCATCATCGATGCCACTGCCACGGTTATGATCATCGTTGCCACCGCCACCATCAACATCGCCATCACCATCATGAACCTCAGCACCCCCACCATCGTCTCCACCATGCGTAGCACAACCATGATTGTCTGCTCATCATCACCACCCCATCATCAGTATCGCCGTTGGCGTTGTCATAAACATCACTTCATCATCATCATCATCATCATCATCATCATCATCATCATCATCATCATCATCATCGTCATCATCATCATCATCGTCACTAGCATCCTCGTCGCAATCGTTTATCGTCCTCGTCATCATCAACACTACCACCACCATCATCATCATCATCATCATCATCACCATCACCATCATCATCATCATCATCGTCATCATCTTCTTCATCATCATCACACTCATCATCACAATCATCTCCGTTATCATGAGCAGCATCACCACCAGCAACAACAGCAGCAGCAGATCCAGCATCATCATGATCAGCAACATCATCATCAGCAGCAGCAGCAGCAGCAGCGGCATCATCATCATCATCATCATCATCATCATCATCATCATCATCATCATCATCATCATCATCATCATCATCATCATCATCATCATCATCATCATCTGCAGCAGCAACATCAAAACCATCATCACCACCACCATCATCATGACCATCATCGTCATCCTCGTATTCATCATCGCCGATCCCCTCTACACCTTCACCTCATCCTGCTCCTGCTCTTCCTCGGATCAGAGTGCCTAGCCCTCCCGAGATCTGTAGGATGAAGAAGGTTTTCCTATGAGGCGACGAAAACTTTAGTATCAACACCTGAGCCGATGAGAGAAGGTCTCCCCCCCACCCTTCATCCTTACCCACTCCCCCGTCCTCCTCCTCCTCCTCCTCCTCCTCCTCCTCCTCAGATGTCCGACGTCGTGATACTTTCGCAACGTGGCTCCTCAGAGGCCTGGACCTCTTCTCCAGTGTTTCTTCACGGTCCCAGGGCCCCGAGAGGGCCCCCCGAGACCGAAAATTGCCCAAAGACTTTCCGTCGCATTTGTTTCGCGACGCGGGGATGTCCGTGTCCTCCTCCGACGGCGGCACCAAAGAGGACGGCGAACGCTCCTCGCCCCGCACGAGCTCCACGGCCCCGTCGCCGGCGTAGACGGGCTCCGAGAAGTTGAGGGTGAGCGTGCCTTTAGGAAGGGGCAGGGCCGAGGCTTGAGGCATCTGGAGTTAGGTCGGGCATATCCTCCTACAAGCGGATTTTGGACGAAAGATGCAACATAGTTTTTAAACAATGCCCGAAAATAGTAAAATCGCCCACAGACTACTCCTCCTGTAGAGGGATATGCCCGACATAAACCTGGAGAGAAAGACGCCCAGACATGCGACGTCCTGCTTTCTTTAGCACGGCGCCCTGGACATCGCGCGACCCTTTCCCGGGACCGGCGTCTCATCCTGAGTCGTTGTTCCCAGCCCCGGGGCCCGGCGCGGGCCTCCAGAGGCCGAAAACGGCGCAAAACCTCCCGCCTTGACTTCTCTACGCCGCGGCCATGTCTGGGAAGCGATCGTGGTGGGAAGACGATCCGAGGCATCTGGGGCCAGGGGGCCATGTGCACCGATCCTGAGCCCAGGATGGGCCCTGGCCAGGGCCGGTGTTAACTGTGTGCGCGCAGTGCCCGCCACCCGGGCCATGACCACGCCCAGGACGGAACGCAGAGGCATCGGTGTCGATCTTCGCCACCGCCACGAAGCGCGCGGCATCGATCCATTCGGATTGCAGCGCACAACAAGATGCGGAACTTCGCGCGCGACGCGAGCCAAACTGTTGACAAGCCTTCCACTTCGGCGAGCGAAGCGCCCCGAAGGGCCTGCGGCGTGCGCAACTCTCTGCGCGCGGAGCGCCCCGAGCGGGTGACGAGGTGCGCGCCTCGCCGAGCGCAGCGCGCAAACGGCGCAACGCATGCGCCCTGGCCCGCGAAGCGCACCAAGCGTTGGCCGGGGGGGCGATCCTCCTCCTCCTCCTCCTCCTCCTCCTCCTCCTCCTCCTACTCCTCCTCCTCCTCCTCTCTCCTCCTCCTCCTCTCCTCCCTCCTCCTCCTCCTCCTCCTCCTCCTCCTCCTGCTCCTCCTCCTCCTCCTCCCCCTCCTCCTCCTCCTCCTCCTCCTCCTCCTCCTCTTCCTCCTCGGGCCGAGGCCCCCTCGGTCATCGAGGGCCGCTCTGATGGGGCTCGGCGGCGCGCCCAGGGGGGGGGGGGAAAGAGGGGGGGACCTTCGTCGGAAGTCTCGGGGGGCCCTCCGGCCTTCCGAGGAGCTCAGTCCGAGCCTTCTCCGAAGCCACAGATCGGGCATTGCTTGGTGAGTGGTCGACCCAGACATGGTCGCGTCGTGAAACAGTGCAGGACGGCGATATTTCTCCGTTATCGGCCTCTGGAGGCCCTCGCCGGGTCCCGGGACCGTCCAAAAACGACTCAGGATGAAAAGCCGGTCCAGCGGAGAGGATCGGGGCTTCTGGGGACCGCGTACTGAACAATCAGGACGTCGCATGTCTGGGGATAAATGGGGGCGGGGGGAAAAAAGTAAACTTTCGCGTTTCGTGCCTCCTGTAGCCCTTTCTGGGGCCCCTGGAGGGCACAAGAGGAGCACCTATCTTCGCTCCTCCACTCGTCGCCCCTCCATTCATCGCAACGCCCGAGCCAGAAGGCCCAGGAGGCCTCCAGCCCTCTGAGAGAAGCTCTCTAGCCTTCTCCGAAGCTACACGTGGGTCGGAAGAAGTAGGTAGGAACATGAAGTAGGAAGGCGGATATAGCAGATTTGGTCCAGGTCCTCCCAGAGAACAACAAAACACAGCAGCAGCATGTCGATTCTTGAGGTAGGAAGGCGCTTGAAGCAGATTGGGATCTGGGAATCCAAAAATACGCACTTTCAACGACCGGCGTGTACAGGTGGCCTCCTCAGAAGGCCCGGGGAGGGCTTCTGAGAAGCGAAGCCCCGCCGCCTCCTCAGAAGGCCTGTGCGCTCTCGCTGCCCCCCCCCCCGCTGGCGCGCCGCCGTCGAGCGTGTTCTGCTTGCCTCCGCTGGGGCCTCGAGAGGGGGAGGGAGGACGTGCCCGTCTCGTCCCTCTCTTCTATGGGGCCCCTTTCCGGGCACAAGAGGTGCACCTGTCTTCACCCCCTCCGCCGCCTTCTGACCGGCGGTGGACGAACCTCCCTCCAGTAAACCTCCCCTCAGTGGAAACGGCCTGGGACCGAAACCGACGGACCTGGACCCGCAAAGACTGCCGGCCGCGACGCCCCCTCGCGCACCGACGTGTCGGGGCAGGAGGTCTGTCCACCCCCGAGCAGGGGGGTGGGACCCGAGCCCCCCATCGTCGTGGGGCTCGGCGGCGGGCCCAGGGGGAGGGGGGGGGGAAGAGGGGGGGGAGGCCTCCGTCGGAAGCCCACGGGGGCCCTCCGGCCTCCCGGGGAGGAGCTCAGCCCGAGCTCTCTCCGAAGCCACAGGGCGGCCGGGGGCACTGCTTGGGGAGCGGTCGACCCAGACGTGGTCGCGTCGTGAAACGAGTCAGGACGGCGATCTGAGAAGTCCTGCCCCCTCTCACTACCCCCCCCCCCCCGGCGCGCCGCCGTCGAGCGTGTCTTCCCGCTGGCCTCTGGCGTTGGGCCGCCCGGGAGGGGGGCGCCGTCGACCTGCCACCGCCCGGACGTCCGTGCCCCGTGCGCTCTTCGGCTTCGCGCGTGCGCTCGTCGCCGTCGTCGTCGTCGTCGTCGTCGGCGGCGTCGGCGGCGTCGGCCTCGGCCTCGGCGTCGGCGTCGTCGTCGGCCGTCGTCGTCGTCGTCGTCGTCGTCGTAGGCGTCGTAGGCGTCGTAGGCGTCGGCGTCGTCGTCGTCGGGATCGTCGTCGTCGGCGTCGTCGTCGGCGTGCTCCAAGATGATCCAGATGCTCTGGCGCTGGCCTCGCCGTGAGAAGGGCACGCGCCCGAGCGATGCCGAGGTCGAGGCCGCGGCTGGGCCCGAAGGTCCGGCCAGAACGCAGCGCAGGAGCGGTCGGGAGGCGCCTTCCCCCCCCCCCCCCCGGCTTCGCTGGCCTCGCCACGTGAGCCACGTCGTGCAGGCACGGCGGGCCTCGAAGGAGGCGTGAGACCGTTGCGCCCTCTGCTGCTTTCAGCTGCGGGAGGAGAGAGGAACCACTCGCGGCCCTGGATGCCAACACGTTGACATCCCCGACCGGCCACAACTGGGGGAGCCGTGGTCCTGACCCCCCTGGGTGGGTACCCATTCGCGTCGACGATCTCTCGAGAGGGGTGTCGAGATCGAGGGGCCCCCCAGTGGGGTTGAGGACCACAGCTCCCCCAGTTGTGGCTGGCCTGCACCTCCCTTCTGCTCCTGCCGCCTTCCGGCGATGCTCCGCCAGCGGACCCGCTTCCGCCCTGCCCCCGCCGAGCACGAGCACCGCGCCGCAGGCAAGACCCTTTACAGCAGGGGCGCCGAGGAGCTGGCATGGCTGGCGGCGGCGCCGTCGTGGGCGGGTCCTCTTCCCGCAGAGCGTCCCCCTTCTCTCCGCCCTATCCCCTCTCCTCACTCCTCGCCCCCCTTCTCTCCTCACGCCTCGCCCCCTCTCCTCCCGATCCCCCTCTTCCCGCAAAGCGTCCCCTTCTCTCCTCCCTCCTCGCCCCGCCCTCCCGCCCCCCCCTCCGCCTCCGCCCGACAAACGACGACGCCGACGCCGACGGCGACGACGACCACGACGAGAACCACGGCGACGCCGACACCACGACCAAGGCGACCGCGACGGCGCCGGAAAAAAAGGAGGCGATGTCGAATATGAAGACGACGCGACGACGACGCCGACACCCACGACGCCGACGTCGACGAAGACGACACCTCTCACGACGACACCGACGCCGACGAAGACGAGGAGGAGGAAGAGGACGACGACGAACTCGACGACCGCGACGGCGCCGAACCTTTGGCGCCGCGGCCACGGGGTCAGCAACGTGGCGAGGTCAGGTTAGCGGCCGAAAACGGAAGTGCGCGCGCGTTCGCCCATAGGAGGGAACCGCGCAGCACGGCTCGCGGGGGGGCAGCCGCGAGGGGGGGACGGAGGGGGGCCGACGGAGGCTGGAAAGGGCGGAGACGGAGAGGGCGAGGGGATGGGCGACGGGCAACCAGTGCACGGCGCCGAGCACGCAAAAGAAGACGACGACGAACAGAAAGACGACGGCGAAGACGACGACGACGGCGACGACGACGACGACTTCGACGACGACGACGACGGCGGTGGCGGCGGTGGCGACGACGAGCGGCGCACGCGCGCGCCGTCCGGCGCCACGCCCGACTGGTAGCAGGTGCTGCTGCACTCCGCCGAGACCGAGTTGCCCTCCCCGTTGACCAGGGCACCGACCTGCCGCCGCCGCCGTAGCCACCGCCGCCGACCGCCGCCGCCGCCGTCAGCCGTCGCCGCCATCGTCGGCGCAGCCGTCGTCAGTCGCGGCCGCCGTCGTCCCCCGCCGCGGACCGCCGCGGCCGCCGCCGTCCAGCCGCCGTCGGTCGCCGTCGGCGCGGCCGTCGTCCGTCGCGGCTGCCGTCGTGACCGCGACTGGTCGTCGCATCGGCCCGCAGACGTCACCGTCGGTCGTCGTCGTCGTCGTCGCCGCCGTTGTGATCGTCGCCAGCGTCCATCACCGTGTCCGTCATCGTCGCGGTCGTCGCCGCAGTCGCTGTCCCGATCGTCGTCGTCGTCGTCGTCGTCGACGTCGTCATCGTCGTCGTCGTCGTAAGCGTCGTCCATTCCTCCGCCTGATATTCCTATCTTCCTTCTCGTTTGTCTCCTCCTCTTCCTCCTGATCCTGTCCGTCTTCCTCCGGCTTGTCCCACGTCCCGACATTCCCGTGACCAGGACGTGAGGCGGGCGTGATGAGAGCGCAAACGGCCGAGGAAGGACGACGATAGGCCTTGAGCCTTGAGCCGAGCGGCGCGACAACGAGCGGACCAACGACAACAAAACGGCGAAATACTTTTTGACAAACGGGACAACATACGAAAGCGAGACATGCTTGGAGCCAGTGTTTTTAATATTCCGCGATAGTGGCCGTCATCGGCCCCGCGCCCCCCTCTGGTGACGTCACGTTCCGCGCGGGCGACGTCCGGGAATGCCTAAGGATGCCCGAGGCCAAGAAGGAGCAGCATGTAGGTGGCGATATGCACCACAGCGCCTGTGTACATCACAGTGCTCGAATGCACCACAGCGCGCGCGTACACCATAACGCCTCTGTGCACCGTACACCACAGTGCTAGCGTGCACCACAGCGCCTGTGTGCACCACAACGAATGTGTACACCGCAGCAGCCATCTGCAACACAACGCCTGTGCACAGTGTAACATCACAGTGCTCGCATGCACCGCAGCGCGCGTGTACACCACAACGCCTGTGTACACCGCAACAGCCGTGTGCAACGCAGCGCCTGTGCACACCACAGTGCTTGCGTGCACCACAGCGCCTGTGTACACCACAGCGAATGTGTACACTGCAGCAGTCATCTGCAACACAGCGCCTGTGTACACCACAATGCTTGCGTGCACCGCAGCGCCTGTGCATACCACAGCGCGCGCGTACACCACAGCATCCGCGTGCAACACATCGCTGGTGTACACCACAGCGCCTACGTGCACAGGATAGGTAGAAAGAGCTGCATGTAGGTGAGGATCTGCTGCAGACAGCTAGACAGTGCTGAGAATAGAATGCGATGTTCTTCCCTCATCACTCCACCTCCTCCTCCCTCACCCTTGCAAGGTGCTTCCGAGGGCCAGAGTGCGACTGCATGCTGCTGCACATCCCTGATCAGGGCAACTCACCTGGGGATCGTTTTTGTGCGGGCTGGGTGGGATTTAGCACGGGGGCAACGGATCCTGAGAGAGATGTGTCCTGGACCCCGGCGCCTTCCCCCAGGACCACATCTTCATCCTGAGTCGTTTTCTGACAGTCCCCGGGCCGGCGGAGGGCCCCGAGAGCCCACAACCGGCGAACAAAAACCAGGACCCGTTTCCCTCAGGGTCCGCTTACTTCATGGCGAAGGATACGCAAAGCGTCAAGACTTGCGACACCTGCGCGTTTGGCCGCGCCCGCTGTGAGAATGCGAGGCCCCCGTCCAAGTGTCCGTGCGTCGGCGGCTGGATATGGGACCCAGAGGGCCCGGGAACGGGCGACGCCCGCACCCTTGCACAGGGGCCCAGGGACACACGAACTTATAGGCACAGATCCCAGGCTTCCACCATTCGTTCCACATTTGTTGGCTGCTCGTCTTCCCCTCCACTTCCCACCTTTGCCACATTTTCCTGGGAATCGACGAACATTCCCAGATATGCGACGTCCTGATTTTTTCAGGACGGCCTCCCTGGAAGTCCCGACCCGTTCCCCGGGACCGGTTTTTCGTCCTGAGACGTTGTTTGACGGTCCCGAGGCCCGGCGAGGCCCCCCCGGGGCCGAAAACAGTCCAAAACCTCCCGTCCTGAATTCTTCACGACGCGATCATGTCTGGGTTTGTCTGATCCACGGAGGTTGTTCCCCTTCCTGACCCACGCAGCTCGGAAAACTGGTGCGCCCGGGCCCCGGCTCTGCGCTGCCGCCGCGGCTGCCACGACCCGCCCTGCTTGCTCCTCGACAGGCACACACAGAGAGTTCCCGGCTGGGGTCCGAGCAGGTGGGGTCGGAAGATCGCGCCGCATCGCCAGTGCATCGGCAACGTGGACCCCTGAGATCCTGGCGTTGTCACACCGGGCGTTCTCTCCCCATTTCGGGCCGCGGGGCCCTCACAGATCGATCCGGCCCGAAAAATGACGCAGAACGATGGGGTCCGGGGTTCCGGGCGCGATTTTTCGCGATGTTGCAACTGTATTGCAACGTCGTATCTCAGGGACGATGCACCAGCGCTGTCGGCGCGGAGAAAGTCGGGCCCCACATCGAGCCGCATCGCTGATGCATCGGCGATGCGGCACGATCCTCCGACCCCATCTCTATAGTCAACCCGCATGATAAGGGCGCGCGGTAACTAAGGATGCAAGGACCTTGGAAGGCCATGTCGACACTTGGCGAGCGGGGCGCGGCCAGCGAAAACGGCCAAGGATGTGCAAGGATAACCTTGGAAAGTTGCTCATCTTTACTACATGGGTTGATTGTACAGTCCTCGTGCTACCATAAGTGAGAGCGCGTCTCACGGGCGCTCGACTTGAGAACATTCGGCGGCGCGTTTCAACCCGGGGATTGGCCCCCCCCCCCACACTCTGGCGCCGTCGATCAGAACCAGGGGGACTCCCCTCCCCCAACCCCCCCCCCTCCCGACCCCCCCCCCAGGGTGGGGTTTCAAACCCCCCTCCACCCCCCCCTTGCGCTGGCGCCGGCGCTGGCGGCCGCCAGCACCGCCGACGGCGGGGACGCAGCGACGATGACCAGAGGCAGAAGCAGCAGGGGGGGGGGGGGGGGGCGGGGGTTACAACCCCCCCCCCCCCTCCGGCGCCGGCGCCGGCGCTGGCGCTGGCGGCGGCCAGCAGCGCCGACGGCGGGGACGCAGCGACGATTACCAGAGAGGGCCCAGAGGCTGCAGAGGGAACACACAGATCGACATATCGAGCCCTCGCCCCCCAGAAGCCACCGAGAGACCCTTAGGAAGGTCCACGAAGCTTCACGCATGCTCCTCAGACGCCCCCGAGACCCTTCTGACGAGGCCTCAAGAAGCATCCATAAGAACTCTGACTCAAAGCCAAAACACGGTGGCGGGAAGAGCCGAAGGCCACACCACCACCACCACCACCACCAACCACAACACAACCACCACCACAACCACCACAACCACCACAACCCACCACAACCCACCACCACCACCACCGCCACCAACACCACAAAGCACCACACCACAACCACCACCACCATCGCCACCACCACCACCACCACAACAACCCACCACCACCACCACAAACCACCACACCACCACCAAACCACCACCACCAGAAACCACCACCACCACCACACCACCACCACCACCAGCACCACACCACCACCACACCACCACCACAAACCACCACCATCACCACAAACCACTACACAACCACCACCAGAAACGCGACCACCACCAGCACCACCACAACCCACCACAACAACCACCACCACCAAAAACCACAGCACCAGTACCAGCACCATCACCACCGCCGCCACCACCACAACCATCACCACAACCCACCACAATCACAAACCACCACACCACCACCACCACCACCTCCACCGCCGCCGCTACCACCACACCACCTCCCACCGCCCATCTCACCACCACCACCACCGCTACCAGCAGCACCAGCACCACCACAATGTACCACGCCACCACTACCACCGCCACCACCAATACCACCACCACCACCACCACCTCAACCCACCACCGCCACCACCAAGCCACCGCGAAACCACCACCACCACAGCTACCACCACCACCACAACAACTCACCACCACCACCACCACAACAATTCACCACCACCACCTCCACAATTTACCACACCACCACGCCACCCACGCCGCAACCACCACCACCACAACCACCACACCACCAGCACCACCACAAACCACCACACCACCACCAGCACCACCGCCACCACCAGCATCACCACCAGCACCACCTCCACAAACCACCGCCACTATCACCAACACCACAAACCACCACACCACAACCACCACCAGCACCAGCACCACCACAAACCACCACAAAACCACCAAACCACCACCACCACCAACAACAACCACCACCACAACCACTACCACCACAACAAAACGCCACTCCACAACCACCACAACAACAACCACCGCTACAAACCACCACCACAACCCACCACCACCACCACACCACCACCACCACCACGACCACCACCACCATCACCAGCACCACCCACCACCACAACCACCACCACAACAAACCACCACCATAACCACCACAACCACCACCACCACCACAACCTGCCACCACAACCACCACAACAACCACCACCACCACCGCCACAACCACCACCACCACGACAGCCCACCACCACCACCACCACGACAGCCCACCACCACCACCAACACCACCACCTCAGAGAGGCCGTCCATTAGAGATCCCCGCCGCCGCCGCCCGCTGCCGCATGCGCCGGCGCTGGCTCAGAAAAGGACGTCGTCGCCCACGCCCCGCCGCCGCCAGCCGCCGCCGACGCAGGCGCTGGCCCGAGAAAAAGGAGAGAGGAAAAGTAGGGGAGAGAGAGGGGGGGGGTGAACCCCCCCCCCCCCTCCGTCACGGGAGGGGGGGGCGGGGGTTCGAACCCCCCCCCCTACCCTCCATGCATGGGGGGGGTCCAGTTCCAACCCCGAAATGGAACGAATTACAACCGAG